ATGAAGTGAACACCTTCTCTGCAGCTAATACGAGCACACAGCCATTTAAGAAGAGCACTGCTTACCTGAAAGCATTACTACAGCACAGGACGTGCCCAACTCCTGCAAAGCCAGAGCATTCAGCATGCTTACTACAGCCTATGCTGTATCCCTCAGGAAGGTTTTCCCAACTTAACACCATGAGGCAAGTAATAAGTAATTTAATAAACTTTGTGCAGACAATAAAACACAAGACAGTCAGCTTGTCTAAAGATCGATATCCTTATACACACTTCTTGAATAAAAAGCTGGAAGTCCATTTAAAAAGAAAAAAAAAAAAAAACAATTATAAGAGTTTTCCTATTTCATACCATACAATCTACTTATAACCAAAGATTTGGCCTTGCAGTTCAGCCCACTGTCAACAGCACCTCCCTGCTCAACCAGGACGCAACAACCAGATTCAAGAACTGAGTCTCAGGTTACGTGAAAAGCCACGGATATTTAAAAATAATTAAAATATAATAATTTTTTTTTTTTAAATGGAGCTAGAGGTAGCTGAAAGCCTTGCACCCACTGTTCTGGAGCCAGTGCACTCCATTGCAGGCAGTGAGCTCAACTGCACCTGGCTCAGCACAGGGAACTGCTGCATCATTGGTCTTGTGCTGAGCGGGACACAGGATTATACAACCAACACAGAGGGACATTTGGGGATTGCTGTGATTCCAACTGGGGACAAAAGATTTTTCAAAGATGTTAGATCGTTCACCTGGCAACTCACAGCAGCTGTGAAAGTGGACTTAAATACGGCACAGATAGAGCACAGCCACCAAGTTCCATCAAATGAGTAACTGGAACAATGGAGTGTTCCATGAGCTACGTGCAGGCCACCTTTAAACATCTCTTACCTTAAGACTTCTTTTATTTGGTAATTCTTAGTTGAAAAAACAATAAAACTTCTTCCCAGCACAGTAAAAGAAAAAAAAACAACCAAAGAAACAATTGTAGATTAAGAAAATTCAACTTCATTCCATTTGGTGCAAAAAAATATATAGTTTCTTTTCACATCACACTTCAGTCAATGACCTTGAAATCACCTTATGGGAACTTGGAACTACACTGGTTTACTCTGGGCTTTAACATCACCATTCACTGCCACAGCGCTCTTCTGGAGCTACAGGTCTCTAACCAGAGGCTTCTCTGCTACCACAGCTACTTTCATTTTCTGTTGTGACATCAAAGCCCTTCACGCTCCTGACAGAGAGTACAAGCTGAAGCTTCGTAAAGATGAAACTACAGTTTGCAGGAGCGCTGCTGAAAGTATGTTGCTACAGAACGCATGCTACAAGCAACAAAAACACCCCCTGACCTGGCTCCTGCAGACCCAAGGCTCTGCCATCAAAGCCTTCAGCACACCATTGCTCCTTACACAACAAGTACTCAACATATCGCCTTCTTGGCTCAGCTGCACTTTTTCAGACTAAAAGTATCTGCCAGAGAAACTGTCTGCGACTTTGAGAACGGCACCAGCTCCATGGGAGCACTACAGCAGCCCCGGGTAGCACACACACATAACTGCTGCTGCTCACTGAGCATCCTTTCCTTTCCCGGTCCTCGTTCTCCTTTTACGTCGTTTTATCACTTTTTCAAAAAGCGATTTTCTATTTAGGACAGGAGCAATAAAGTACTTCTGCCAGACCCACGTTTGAATTCAAAGCGAAGACACACCCATCTCCATATCAGTAAACAACAAACGTATCAGAGCCATCTGCGGCCGCTGCCGAAGCCCCCGAGGAAAGCTCTCCCCCAGGAAGGTTTCGGGCCGCGAAAAAACACCCGAGGACGCTTTTTTGCCCCCAGCACAAGGGGACTCCCGCCGGGGGAGCGCCCGGGCCGGCTGTAGGGGGGGTGGGCTGAGGGGGGAGACAAGCGGGGGGCACCTGCGCGGGGAGGGGGCGGCACCCGGCGTGGGGAGGGAGGGGAAAGGCGGGGACGGCTCCCGGCAGCGCTCCGGGCCGGGCGGTGCCGTGCACTCACCTGCGCGGTCTCTTGGCCATCCTCGGGTCGCAGCATAAGGGGGGCCGCCAGGGCAGCGGAGCGCCCCAGCCCCCGCCCGAGCTCCTCGCCCCGCAACCGCCGAGCTCGGGCCGGGCGGGGGGAGGAGAGGGTCGGCGGCTGCCGAAGGAGACTTCGAGTTCCCGGGACGGCTCCCTCCCTCCCGCGGAACTCCGCGGCATCCGCAGCGCGCTGCCGGCCGCCCTCAGCCCCGGCCCGGCCCGGGCGCGTCAGGCATGGCTCGGCCGGGCCCTGCCCGCAAGTACGGGGCGCGCAGCGGCTCCTCTCCCGCCCGCCGCCCCCCTCCTGTCAGAGCCGCCACGGGCTGCGGCGATGCCTTCCCGCCCCGAGCAGCCGCCGGGTCTCTCTTCGCTTCGTCTTGCCTCACCCAGGCCCGCCCGCCGCCGCCAGCCACCCCCCCCCCCCCGCGGCCCCGGCTGCGCCGCCACCGCCACACTCGCGGCGGGCTCGGTCGCTGCTGCCGAATCTCGCGCCCAGCCTCCTTCCCGAGCCACCGTTTGAATCTGCGCAGGCGGACTGCCGCCCCATTGGCTGCTGTCGCCGCACGCGACACGGGAGCGGGCGGGGCCAGGGGGAGGTGGGGCCGCGAGAATCCTCGCGCCAGCCCGAGGCGGGGGTGGGGGGAAAGGAGGAGTGGCCGTGCGGGCGCGTAACGGGGCCGCGAGGCCCCTCCTAACGCTCGCCGCTGCCGTCTGGTAGCGCCCGCCCCGCGCGGACAAGGCCAGCGCAGCCCCTGCGGGACGGCAGAGACGGTTAACCGCTCTCGAGAGGGAAAAAAAACCGTTGCGGCCTTGCGGGGCAAAACCAAGCCTCCTTCGAGCCGGAATCGAACCAGCGACCTAAGGATTCCCGCGGGCGGCGCCTCTACAGTCCTCCGCTCTACCAGCTGAGCTATCGAAGGGAACTGGCTGTGGTTGCCGTTCCGCCCCTCACAGCTTGGCGGGCTCGGCGAAACGCGGCCTGCAATCCTTATTCTTTGCAAGGAGAGAGACTGTGGGGTCGGTTATAGTCACACTGCTTTTGGAGAGCACTTTATTATTATTAATATTAATAATAATAATAATAATAATAAATAGTGCTTTTCATGCATCACATGAGAAGCAGTTGCCACCCGAAAAAGTGAAAAGCCATGCAATACCTCACATACTTACACACCAAGCTTGTGCACTTTGCCAACCTGCGCTCTCTCCTGGCACACACGCCCCAAACCTGTGAAAATTCTAAAGGGAGAGATCCTGACCCCACAGCATTCCCCAGGTGTGAGGTGTTGCTACAGGCAGGGACACACTTGCGCAGCAGGCACTGCTTGCTTGGAGAGAATCACTCAGCACAACAAACTCCTGCATCCCTGAGCACGGTGTTACAACACCCCAGGGCTGACTGTTCCTAGAGGAACAGTCAGAGGCATCTGCACCTCACAGGCCTGGCAAGAGGAGGTCGTTGAGACCTACAAAACCTCTGGTTCTTGAATATCCATCTGCTGCACAGGGCCCTGGGCGCCTCCTGCAGGAGTGGGTATGCATGAGATGGGCCAGAAACACCCTTCGTCCTCTTTCTAAAGTTGTGTAGGGCAAACCAAGTGTATAATACTTCTTTTTTTTTTTTTTTTTTTTTTTTTTCTCCCCCCAAGAGCAAGTGAAAATGCAAGCAGCAGTGTCTGTTCCTAGAGAGGAAGCAGTGAGGTTCCCATTTCCAAGGCATCGCCTCTGCTGCTGACCGGTGATGGATCAAGGTAGGGATACAGGAGCAGCCCTTGGCAGCCCCGTGAGGAGCACAGTCTCCATACCAAGTACAAGGACACTAAAATTAATAAGTGCCCTCCTGTTGTTTTTTCCTTCTCTGAAACACTGATGCCCTGCGGTTCCACATGCACTTGAGAAGAGAGAACTGAGAAATGCGGGTTCAATCATGCCCAGCCATCCCACTTGTTGGGTGGCTGCTCTAACCACTACCCACTTACATATTAAAAAAGGAAGCACCCCAAACATCTCACCGCATCCTCTTGTGGCTGCATTTACAGAAACCTGAACTCTGCACAGCCTTTAGGAGAAATGAGCGTCATCATCAGCATTAAGGCTATGGGTTGGGAGTGACTGGGCCGACAAACCATGGAGCAATCCTGCAACAATGAGTGAGGCATTCCAGGAATTGGCATTTGAAGATACTTGTCAATGGTGTTTGCTCGGTTCCTGAATGTTTATTGTGGGGCCAAATCATCAATATTTTTCCTTTATTAATTTTAGCGTGCTTTTTGCTTAGTGGTCAAAACAAATCATCAGAACAGCACATGGTTTCTTATTTCATACAACTTCGTCTCAACTTCAAAAGCAGGTTCATCTATTGAAAATTATTACACAGCTCAAGAGAGGAAAATCTTCCCAAGATGCGTTGTAGTCCATTTTTCAGATACTCCCCTACACAAAAGTCTTAAGATTCCATTTATTTCCATAATAAAGCCTTACAGGTGTGGAATTTAGATGTACATCTATCCCCACATACGTGTGTTTGCAGACGTACATCTTCACGTTCCTCCTTTCGGCGGGGAGGCGGCTCTGGAATAGGGCTCGTGAGAAACCTTGGCTTCCAGCGCCCCCTGCACACGCACACCAGAACCTCAGCCCGTGGCACATCCCATCCACCGCTGGAGGAATGACAAAAAGCAAACGAGAAATTAACATACATTACAAACGTACTCTCACCAGGATGAACTCATATCAGTGCATTCGCAGTTTTGTTTTTTTTTTTTTTTTTTCTGATCTTTTATTTTGCAGATGGTCTTTGCTTGCTGCTTTCTCTCGGTGGTTTTTGTACAACCCACATTCACTGGGGTTTGCTTTTAATATCCAGGGATGACAACAGCAGGCTTACTCACATCAAAGCTGTGACAAAAGCTGTAATTAAAAAAAAAAAAAAAAAAAAAAAAAAGAGAACAAAGTTCAACTTGCCTGGAACAGGATTTGTGTCATCAGCATCATGCAGTATGAAATGTCAAATGTTTAGAATTCATGTATGTTAAAGTCAAAGGAGCCTGAAATAAAAAATATTGTTATTTAAGTAAGTACCTTCTTGTATGTTCCCATACTAACACATATGTTCTTAATTTGTAGGAAATAGATCCTAATGAAAGCATGAGCTGAGTCAAACTACTGAATTAGTAAGTGCTGACAGTCCTGTTAAATGTGTATATGTATACATAAACACCATATGTTTTGACATACAGTAGACACTCTTCTTGGAGTACATCAGTAAGCAAATATGCATCTCACATAATATACATTTTTAAATCTTATTTGTATTATTGTCTGACAGGGTCCAATATTTTGCAGTTTCTTGTACTCATTCATGAGCAAAAAAAGAAAAAAAAAAAAAAAAAGGATGGAGATGCATGTATAAGAAAGGAGATACAGAGATACAGACTGGTACTCTGTCTCTGCAATATGATAAAGAGCATCTCTCCCACATGCCACCATTTTAATGCACTCTCTGGGCTGTCACTGTGCATAAGCCATCAGGCACAGCCTCGGTAGACTCCTGGCAGGACACTTCCCAGTCTGCAATATCTGAGTCCCATTCTGCAAGAACTGCTTTACATCTTTGCTTGCCTTCATTGTCTCAAAGGAAGGGTCCATTCCAACCTAGACCTGACAAACAAGACCAAATGCTAAGACACTGTTGCAAGTTCAGGTTTGCAGTATGAACCAAAGTACGGCCATCACTGCATGCTCATGGCTCGTGAGTATATCTACTTCCAGTGCCACTTTGCCATTTTCCCACTGCCTTGGTGGGATCTCCTGACAAAGCAACCCCAAACATCACCAGAACCACCTGTTGGTATTCGGATTCTGCTTTTTTTTCTTGTTTGTTTGTTGGCTGGTTTTGCAGTGTTCCTGAAGTGCTAGCAGCAGTGGGCATCCCAATTCCAAAGATAGGACACACATACATACTCTTACCCAGATGATTTGCCAAAGTACTCAGAAAGATTCAGCAACAATCCTGTAATTTGCCCTGTTATTCATGCCTTTTTGCTAAACTTCCCGCTGAAGTGCAGAAAAATATCATGTATACTTCCTACATATATATTATGCATTAATTATGCCTCTGATCAATAGCATTCCTGCAGGGTAACAGGTTGCTTTCTCTGCAATGCTGATGCTTCAAAAGAATTTCACCAACCTGCAGTGGCAAAAAGTTACCAGATTATTAGGCAATATATTAAGCTCATGTGTATTTCTGAGCTCATTTGTTACTGCTCCAGTCCTGTGGCAGTGTCATCTATTTCCTGGGAAAGCCTTTAATGAATAAAAAAGAATACCAGTCACTATTCTGTTTCAAAGGTTCACAGAGCTGAAATGATGGAAAGACTCTGAAGTAATGTGCAGAAGTTTGCGATTATTTGCTGCTACCCTCCACGAAATCTCATTGTGAATTCAGGCAGGCAGTTAAACATTTATCTGGATAGATAAGCAATACAAGGACACTATACCTCAGAAGACACAGAGCTTAATATCACTATCAGGAAGTTAAAAATAATCAGTGCATGATCTGTCTGTAGGCTGTTCGGAAGCTGTACCACAGAGGAACCTGAAGTCTTTAGGAAGATGAATCTCTGCACTGACAGTCAGCAAGACACACAGCTGACTTTTTGCTGTGAGAGCTTCAACCTTGGAATCCAGCATAACTTTTACAGGTTAAATCCAGAAATCAGTTTTTTGAGTTGTGAAAACAAAGAGCGTTATTTCCTCCGTCAAGTTTCCTATCTCACAAACAGCTGCTCCCAATCCCAGAGAATTTAGGCCTATAAAGTGAAAGAAACATGATTGCTAACATCAAGATGAAGGGCACTATAAATGAGCTTACAGCTTTTTGCCGAACTGTTTTCCTTTAGTAGACTTCAATGCCTTATAGTCTCAATAGTCTATAATCTTTAGAGATCTTCAGTGACAAAAACACAAAATCAAAAGCACAGGCATCCATCAGGATTTGAGCTCAGCTACATTTTGTCTGGGTTTGGTCTCACAGCACTACTCATTCAGAAACAAAGATAATCTTGACTGCACTGGCCTTGCGGGGGCTGAGCTTGTTGCCCATGGGTAGAGAAATTCCTGGTGAAGAACAGAAGATATTTACCAAATATCAGTATCAGAGATTCTGAAGGGCAATATTCTCTTTGTGGCTGCTGAAAACAATCTGTTTTTGTCAAAATTTTCTCTTGACTGTTCCTTACATTTTCTTGAAGTGATAAGTCTTAAGGAACAACCACTACTCGCAAGAATGAAGCTTTGAGTGCTTTTGACTCAATCTATTTATATTCTCTTTCAGAGAGGAGAAAAAGTGCTAATGCTTCTGCCTGCCAATTAGCCTGTGTTCTGTTAATCACAACATAGAAGAATCATATGTACTTTGTGATTTTGTGAATTTTGCTTTACTATATTGACAGGTTTATATCACGCCAGTGAAAGGACAGTGGAAATGTAAGAATTAAAGGCTACTGTATCACAAAAATATCAAGATAATTGGGTATATCTGGATGTGCTTAGAATTTATACTGTCACAGTTATGGATCATTTCAGAGCACAAAAAAAACCCAGTCTCTTGCACATTTCCCAAACAACATACATCAATTTCTCAAGGAGGCAGTATGAGTGCTCTAACAATTGTGAAGTGTGCTTTGGGTCAAGCTTGGGATTAAAGAAAACAATCAAACAAAACCAATCACCCTCTCACAAAACAACAGTTTTCAAGTTCAGATTAGTAGCGGTATAGCCCTGCCAGAGACCTACACAAGAATCTGCTCAGAAAAGAAGTTATTTAACATAGAATAACTGTAGATCTCAGAGATGATGTTACATTTCATATCGCATGAGCTGCTCTGCAGCCTTCCTTCTGGCAATCCTTTTATCAAGCTATCACTAGCTTGATAAAAAAAACTGAGGTCATGCTGACCTCATGCTTGTCTCTTGCACAGAGCATAGAATCATATAGAATCATAGAATGGCCTGGGTTGAAAAAGACCTAAAAGATCATCTAGTTTCAATCTCCCTGCCATGGGCAGGGTCACCAGCCACTAGACCAGGCTGTCCAGAGCCACATCCAGACTTACACTATACAGGCAAACATTAGCTTGTAGTGGTTAAAAGTGGAACAACCTTGTATCAGTCAAATAGGGAAAAAAGCACTCCCAATTTTACACTCATACGTTACCTGTGATCTTGCCATCAAACATTCACTGTAAAAAAAAAATCACAGTGCTTCAAGATCAGATTACAACATCAGTCTTAATTGACAGACCTTACTAATCTCTCAATTGCCACTTGTTTATTTTGGTAATCAGGGAGGGACAATTTTACTAGTTATGGTCAGTTTGTTTAGGAAAAAAAAAATTATTCTTTGACATGCATGCAACTTTGAAGATTGAAGAGTCCCTTGGAAGTCACTTGTTAATCAGGTATTAGCAGTACAGATTTTCCCATGCTGTTTTGGTATTATGCCTTAGAAAGTCATCTCTATGAATTCAGAAGTTAATTCATCCTTAGATCAAGGACCAAGACCAGAGGTAGCAAAGAGCTAAGTATTAGTGTATTTAGCTTTCTCCATTGTACCATGCCTTGAATTTTTTTATTTTGAAAGAAGAAGGTATTCTTTACTATTATTTTCCTCATCTCTCCTGCAACAATAACTACTATTCTCAGCATTTCTCTAGGGAAGTCTTATTTTAAGAAAGACATAGAGGCTGGGGGAACAGTAGTTAGTATTCCTGTAAGCACAGTGTTCAGGCGTAGGACTTGGAGATGTACTGAGCACTGCTTTAGCAGATTTGAGCACGTGAATAGTATGAAATAACTCCTTTTCATACACCATAGTTTTAAGTTATGCCTTTGTCCTCTTTTCTGTCTTTGGCTTCTCTCTTACTGCCACAAACCATTATGATGTGGCAACAGCTGGGTAGGCCTCAATCCTTACCTTCCACTAGGTAGAAAATGGTTTATTTGGCAGCTTCAGCTCCTAGGAGAACATAAAGGTGGACATCAAGGAAATCACCGGATTTGGATTCAAAGCTAATCACTCTGCAGATGAAACAACAGGGAACACCGCTGCCCCACAGAACTACTAGTGATTTTTAGAACCACTGACAGATCTTTAGATAGTATCTTCCTTCTCCAAAAATGCACTCACAAGCCCTCTGCTCTCTCAGGAACATCCCTTCATTCCTTCTTGTCCCATATGCACAGATCTTCAAGCCGAACAAGATTTTAATTTCTGACAGTTTGTGTGAAATGGGATTATTATCACTATGTCTCTAAAAGCAGTGGTACTAACTGAAGACAGTAAGAACTGGAAAATCTCTGATAAAAATGGTTCAGTATTCAGGGTGTTCAAATGAATGTTGAAAAACAAACAAGCATGACACTAGAACTCAGAAAAATTCTCAGTCTGCACAAATGCATAGGAGAAAAAAAAGGAAGTTCAGGATTAGGAGGTAACATGGTAAAAGGACAAATTATCTCTCTATATAAGAATGTAAGTATCCAGAAGAAGCTTCATTTGAAATAAGATCTTGTATACTGGGTTGACAGAAGAGCATATAAAATCAGATCTTATTCTGAAAGCTGCTTGAACCTCAGCTCAAAGGGTTATAGGAGGTGGCTTCATGCCTTTCACACAGCCAAGCCATGCATACAATTGGTTGTTAAGAGCCACAACATTACCTCCCAAACCCTCTTCTGATTTCTGTTTCCTTGTACCTACCATCTTTCTTTCCTTTCTTTCTTTCCTTTTTTTTTTTTTTTTTTTAATTATTATTTTTTATGTATGCAAGTTTCCAGCCTGCACAGACCTACAACAGAATCTGCAGGACTGCTTTAGAAGTGAAATTAGATTAGCTACCAGCAAGACAATCCACTAAAAATATTTCCAGAAGAAAACAAAATTAGGTAGTCTTAAAGAAAAACAGAGGTGGATAAAGACCAAATACAATTTGTGTAGCTATGCCATAATCATCAAATTAATGCCTTAAAGTAACAGAACAGAGAATAATGGTCTCTTCTGAAGCCTCTGTCGGTTACTGCAACAGAAGTGATGCTCACATTGAAGCCTAATGTATTTGAAAATTTAAATAAACATTCAGAATCACCCAGCATCCTCAGTTTAAGGGCTGCCATGAAAATAACATTTCCTATTTTATTATGTTTGCCCACGACATCAGAGGTGGCTGTTGGCGGTATGGCAGCAGAGGCTGAGCCTTCCCACCAACATTCCATTCCATTCCATTTTGCTGCTGTGTGACAGATGGCAGCAGAGGGGCAGTCTGACAAAATGGCGTCTGACATGGAAGTGCGTATGGAGCACAGGTGTGTGGTGGAATTCCCCCATGCAGAAACAGTGGCACCCACTGACATTCACTGGTGCTCGCTGAATGTTCATGGAGACTGGAAAGTGAACACGAGCGCAGTAAGAAGGTGGGTGATGCATTTCAGCAGTAGCAACAGCAGATCACCTCCTCTGGTGCAGAATTTTACTAGCACAGCATGCAGGCTCTCATACATCAAAACCATGCAAAAATGCATAGCTGACTGCATTGAAAAATAGCATTTTGTAGCTGAACATTTGTTCTATCAAATAGCATTACTGTACACTTTGTAGCTGTTGTAGTCTCCATGAAAATTAATAAATAGCAATTGGCTGACAGGTCAGGCCCAAAGGATTTTAGTAAATGGGGTTACATCAGGCTGGCAGCCAGTCACTAGTGAGGTTCCTCAGAGCTCCACTTTAGGGCCAGTTCTCTTTAATTTTTTTCTTAAATGACATCGATGTAGGACTAGAAGATGTTTTGAGCAAGTTTGTTGATGATACTAAATTAGGAGGAGCTGCTGACTCCACCAAGGGTGGAGAGGCCATACAGAGACCTAGACAAGTTAGAGAGCTGGGCCATCAGCAACCACATGAAGTTTAACAAGACCAAGAAGGGGCAACCCTGCCTATACATACAGACTGGGGGATGCAATGCCGGAGAGCAGTCCCATTGAAAGGGATTTAGGGGTCTTGGTAGACAGCAAGTTGAACATGAGTTTACCTGGGCAGCCAAGAAGGCCAATCATATCCGGAGTGCATCAAATACGGCACTGATAACCAGTTGAGGGAAGGGATTGTCCCCCTCTGCATTGTACTGGTGTGGCCTCACCTCAAGTACTGTCTGCAGGTTTGGGCACCACAGCACAAAGAGAATACAAAACTACTAGAGAGCGTCCAAAGGAGAGTTAGAAAAATGGTGAAGGGTCTAGAGGGGAAGATGTACAAGGTGCAGCTGAAATCCCTTGGTTTGTTCAGCCCAGATTAAAGGAGACTGAATGGAGGCCTCATGGTGGCTGCAGCTCCTCATGGAGAGCAGAGGGGCAGTGCTGAGTTCTGCTCTCTGTGACAGCGTCAAGACCTGAGGGAACAACCTGAAACTTCAGTAAAGAAGGTTCAGGTTGAGTAGCAGGAAAAGGTTCTTCAGAAGGTGGTCATGCACTGCAACAGGCTCTTCAGGGCAGTGGTCACAGCCCCAAGCTGCCAGAGTTCAAGAACAGAGTTCAGTTGGCCAATGCTCTCAGATACATGGTCTGATTTTTGAGTCGTCCTGTGTGGAGCCAGGAGTTGGACTCGATGATCCTTATAGGTCCCTCCCAGTTCTGGACATTCTATGATTCTAGGAGGCATTACTTTCTGAGCTACCTATTTAATTCAAATACCAGCTCTGACTGCCAGGTTTCCATAATGTCACCACGTCTGTTATGGATTCAAGTGTTATTACTTTTCTTCACCTATCATTAAAAATTAAATATTCAAAACATCACAAGTCAGTAGAAGCCAAAATATATTCCAGCCTTAAAAAAGACTCCACATCAGGCAAGGCAACAGTTTGTATCAACTTTTTCAGTCAAAATATGTTTGAAATGACTCTTCATTGTACCCAGAACACCTTCCATGACACTCTACACCTGCTGATGAACATCCAAGATTAATTCTCATCCTGATCCTGTGGAAAAAAATCAGTTGTGAGGATCTTGTTCTGGCAAGAAGATGAAGTTTTGCAGCTAGATTTTTATATTAGATTTGCTGTATAAATATAGGTGGCTGAAGGAGGAGGAGAAAAAAATGAAAATGAAAATGAAAAAAATGAAAAATGAAAAAAAAAAAAGCTGTAATCTAACAAAGACATATACTGATAAACAAAATTAATAAAAGAAAAATGAAAACATTTAAAACATTTTTGATTGCTTCATACAATACGGTTTGAGTTTAGATTATAAATTCTGCATTAAAAAAAGATGAATAACTGTCTAGTTTTGCAGTAGGCATTTAAGCCTTCAAAATACAAATCTTTTAAAGGATAATTACCAATTTTTCATGATACAACACACAATCATAATTAGCTTAGTACATTTAAATCCATCGTTTTAAAGAACATCTCAATGCTATCTCATTTTGAATTAAGGTCTTTCAGTAAATAAAGGAAGGAGCAGCACAAGTTTCACAGATGGATTATAAGACTTCTTTGTAGGCTCAAAAGATAAAATTACAGCCAATTTTTGAAATTAAATGGCATAAGAGATGAAAAAGAGATGAAATGAAAAAGCACAGAGATAATTTAAGTAGCTGTCAATGTGTTATTCTTAAGTACTGCCAAGTTTTGAAAGGCCTGCTTCTTCCAAATTTTACTATTCACACTGATATACTAAATGCATGTCTTTAAATTTTGGTTTGAAATGTATTTTCAACAATGTTTCAAACCATAGGAGTATGGCAGCATTTGTACAGCATTTTTCTACACCTTCTTATTGGTGACAGCTGTGAACAGGTTCAGATTTTACTCTCAAATATATAAAAATCCACTTTTAAGACTCTTGAATTCAAAGGTCCTACGTGTTTAATGAAATATTTAGAGCAAGTGTGAAATCCAAAAAGCTTTTCTCTAGTCATTCTTTCAGAAAAACTCTTTTAATCAGAAACGTAACTAAAGCTTACCTTACCAGTCTGTGCCAGTTTTTCAGCCTCTGTACCAGTACTCATGAATGCAAGTAGAAAACAATTTATACACAGAATGAGGAAGATGAAGTAATTACAACTCACTCATTTTGTAGCCAAATCAGTGTTAATTAAACAGGCTATTGTGAGAAAGGCTAGATAAAAGTTGCATCTTATAAAGCCAAAGCAAATGTTTTAACTTACAGTTTTAATATAGCAATCAAAGAAAATTCCAAATACTGTACAGTGAAGTGTAATATAATACACTATATACTGTTATAATACACTATTGTTACATTACAAATAAAAAAATCAAATATAATTAGTACAGCAATCACAAATAAAACAAAACCAAAGTAAGCTGGATAACAGCCAGTGCTGTGAAGATGGTATCGTTTCTATGCTAGTTTCTTTTTAAGTCAACACGTAAAGCACCTACGGTTTAAAAAGATTTGTTTGCTAAATATATACACTATTAATTCTTATTTATACATTTTAAATAGCATTCCCTCCTGAAAGTGCACTCTTTCGTTTCTTAACAGTAATCCCCGTTAAACAAAATAATTCTGAAAATACCACTCACTCCAACCTTTTATTGCTCAACCGCAGGCATAAGGGCTCAGAGGGAATCCTGCATTCTAAAGATCATAAGCAGCTTCTTCAATTTTAAGAACTTAAAACGATATTCACAAGCAAAACAAAGAAATCACTGTTTTGTTACTGTTGGCTGTTTCTTTTTTTCTTTTATTTTTTAAAGGGAGGGATCAAATTCATGTTATTTTTAGAAAAGCAGGTAAATATCTTAAAAATGGGAGCCAACCAAACGTAGAGATAAGAGGGGAATCTTCTTAAAATGATCAATTTTGATTCCTTACATTTCAGCATAAGCATAACTCTCCCAACTACAAGCATACCCCAAATTTCATTAACTGACATTTCCACAAGAAACTGAGAAAGCAGCAGTGAGCTCTGCTAGCCTCGCGACAGCAATAATGGATTCTACTTCTTCAAAGATTTTAAATGAAATATTTTGCTGTGGAAAGTTTGCCTGTTGTATACGTACAGGGCTGTTAGCAGACAGCCTTGCAGCACTGTGCCTTTGTGAAGCTGCTGGCGTGTTCTTTTGGAGACCACGTCTACTTCACATTGTGCGTACTGTAACCACAAACACACGCTGCTTCTTCATGTCTGCAACACTGAGGACAACCCAAAGGTATTCATGTTATTTCATTTAACAAGTTGCTGTTTCCTTTCTCTTCACTGAAATGCAAGTAATTCTCAGAGAAACAGAACTATAGAAAAAAAAATAAATAAATAAACCAACCTTACTAACTAAGGCGTTTTAAGTAGTAAAACTCTTGCGTTTGCCCCCAAAACTGATCTGTTCTCCTGGAGTTTCCCATTCAGGTTTTTGTTTGTTTGTTTGTTTTTTGCTGTTGCTGGGTGGTGGGGTTGCTGTTCTGGGCCTGTATGTTCAGTAGTCATCTCTCGTTTAGGTTTTACTCTCATTTAGGTAAATTTTAAAATGTTCAAGTAATTGATATCATCTTTGTCACGAGATGCTGTATTAGAAAGTGGTTGGCCCCTAGACAAGAAAGTAAGCAAGGTGAGCACTCAAAGAAAACGTAGAGCCACAGCCTAAATTCAGAGGCAACACAGCAGCAAGAAGTTGGGCTGGATGTTTTTTTGTTGCTGCTGTTTAAGAGAAAGGTGTAGGTTTCAAATCATTTCAGTAGCTCCATTCACAGGGGGCTTCACACGCACAGTGAGTCAACACCTTCCCTGCCCTTGTGCCCCACCAGTTTTCCTGACTCTAACAGGGAAGTTAACACGCACGTGGGTGCTTATTCAGGCACTCTGATTCACTTCAAATTACAACTGCATCCACTGGAAGCAATTAAAGGAAACATCTGTTCAAATTTACACTTCAGTGTTCTTTATTTCACTTCTCCTGTACAATTACACATCTTGCCAGCATGTAGATGAAGCTTAGCCTTACTTGAGAGTATCAAAAGCCATCTTTCTCAAAAACACTAATATTTAAATGCGTGAGAAAGCTAGGTGAAATAAGAACACTGCACCAAAAAATGCACAATCCTACGTGACACCAAAAGAGTTCATTTCAGCAGATGTTGTAATTTTGACACCATTTTACCATTCCTTTGTGAGACGATTTTGTTTTAGGAACTGGAGAATTCTGATCTATGTGAGATTAGTGGATCCCAGAGATGACAGTAAGTGTGAGTCAAGCACAGCTATTATCTGCGTCTATTTCTATTTAGTGAAGATTGAAAATATCGAGTTGCTGCTGAAATGGGAAGCGTGTCAAAAGCAAACCAAGCCTTCCTCTTTACACAGTAAAAGGCACACAAAGCTCTGCACCCTTACCACAAAGGCATTAAAGTAAGCACCTTTCCTTGGAATAAGGATGATGTGCAATAAATATTTCAATTTATTTCAAAATTAAAATTCTCTCATATACAGTGCTCATTTATTTTTAACTGAGGAAGATTTTTGCAAAGGAAAGGTTGAAAGTGTCAAAGTGATAGCAGTCTTCTCTAAAACGCAAAAGATTCAGGTGACTCCTTCCCCTCAGCCCCTCCTCTCCTCACTTAAGTTCCTTCCCAGGAACGCTCCACTGCCAGACTTTTCTAAACCTCAAGCTGTGACAAAGCACAATCCTCTGCTCAACATTTTATATACAGAAATAGCCTTCAGACAGCTAGACTGATTCATGGGAGACTAAATGTTTTCAGAAGTCGTGGCAAGCTTCCAGCTGCTGCATGTGCATCCTGTTTCTCATTGAATAAGCACTGCCAGTTAATCAATGCATCAGCAAGGTTGGTTCTGGTGTGCCAGACTACTTTATACATTTCAAGTTGCCAAGTCACTAACTTACAGATTGGAGGCCTTCAGCTTTTGCATTTATTTGTGAAAATGTGATTCTTCTATTTTACCTAAACCTACACATTGTAACATATTCACTCCCTCTGCATAAGCAGGTAGTCAAGAGAGAAATTCAAATTGACTTCCACAAAATGGGGGGCCTATCCTTTAAGTGGATCACATCAGCTAATTTTTTTTTTTTTCTTTAAAACATACAAAAATAAATCTTCACGGGGCATTTTGCATACTAATGCTCAGAACAGTTTAAGTGATTAGAAATGTAAAAAGCGAGGACTTTTCTGAATACAAACATATACAATACAAACATTTCTGAACTGGTAAAAACCCACGTGTGCACAAACACTGACTTCAATATCTTAAATGCTCTTAATTCCTCTGAAGCTGTATTAACATCTTTCATTCATTCAATGTTATTTTACCATTAGAAGAAGCAACAACAGTGCACTTAAATGTGACTATGAAGATAGGAAGCAAAGTGCAATATCAGATAAACATTCCATCCTTAGGGAGCAAGCATAATGGCTCCTTCTTAAAAATTAGCACTGCAGGTCTGATGAACACACTACTTATGTGGATACCAGCTATAATATTACAGACACAGGGAAACCTGCACCCCAAACTGAAGCCAGTCAAGGTGGGTAGTCTTTATAGCCAATGAAACACATGTATTCCTTGTTACATTCCTTGCTGCCACTGAGTAAACAGCTAGCTTCCAAAAGCTCAACTACTAACAAATGCTTGAGGAAAATGTGTTTTAGAGAGTCGTTTCCTTCCAATAAATCACTAATTTGCTCTGAAGAGGGCAGCCATTATTTGTTTGGGTTCTTGGTTATTTCCTTGTTTTATTTCGGTTTGTTTTTGTTTGCCAGTTACTGACCAATGCTAGTAATTGAAGCCTTTTAAGAGAAACAGAATTGCTAATGAACTTTTGTTTTTTCTTACAATTGCCAATTTCTCTCCCGCTGTTGTATTTAAAGTCATAAAACATTTGAACCAGCTCAGTATTTGGGAGGAAATATACCAGAGCATCAACATGGCTGTGTTGGCTCAGACAGCCACGCATAACTACCCCACGTTCACTTTATCTTCACCATACACTTTCTTAACTTGCTTAAACTGACATATGCAGAAAATAGAATTGACTACAGTTACACTTATTCCAAGATTTCTGACAAGTGTATACAGCTGTATGAATGAAAACGTTTTTACATCTGAGGAAGTGCCAGTACAATGTAATTAAAGAAATGTGAATGTCAAACTGTAAAATTTAAGACAAGTTTAGTTTCAATTGCTTTTCATGTGTAGCTCATGTTTATAGTGTATTCTTGAGTGGAATTAAGTACCTGGGACAGGATTAACTTTGTCAAGTTTCTAGTTTTGCCTGGTTTAGCCTTTCCAGTAGCCTCAACTAGCACAGCAAGAATCTCGCATGGGCTTAAATTTTAAGACTTACATGGAATTAAAAATTACAAAGAACTTTCAATAACCCACATTACAGCAGATATTCATCTCAGTGCATTTCCTAATAACTAATTTACAGGTAACAGAGCCAGCCTGGGTAGCAGTATGGTAATATTAAAAGCTATTGCCAATCACACACTTGCTTATCATGCACTGAATAAGATGATATAATTTTTTTGACATACATACAAGATTTAATAACTAATCACTTTGTGTGGCCCAGCCAATAAACATTACATTTGAACAGTAATTTCTTCTACCCTTATTAGATTTTAACCTATCAAGAGTGATCCATTGGCTCAGTTACATTACTAATTCCTGCATCTTGACTATCCATTTCCTCAAGCTCCTCAACAGAATTTCCCTTTTGTGCTTTAGACCTTGCAGGGAAAGTTGTTCCCACAGAATTCACCATGTTATCACCAGCTGACTCAATATTCAAGTGTTCAGTACCACCCGGTGCAGAAAACGGTTCAGGCAAGCCAGCCTGAAAGCTCCCAGTTTTAGCAGTTGAACTCACTGCCTCTACTTTTCTTTGAGATACATCAACTGCTGCTGACTGCTCTGTATTCTGATCCCGCAAGTGTCTATCCATTGAAGCCTGAATAGAGGAGACCATTTCCTGCAACTTTTTTCTCTGTGC